GATTCGACGGCCTTAAAGTCGATTTAACGTGGGAATTTTTATTAAGTGCGTAGCTAATAACTGTGATGAGGCTGACGTTTAAAAATGAATTTACTCGCGTTAGATTTATTAACTTTATAGTCATATTTGTCTATTTTTTATGCGTCTTATCTGTTTTTTGATTCATTTGGCAGTTTTTAAAATAAATTTTTATTTACCCAATTTCTATTTACGTAATTCAAAACTTCGGTCCCTTGAATTTTTAATTATCTCGATTTGCTGTATAATAAAAATCTAATTAAATAAATAAATTTTTTTAGGCTCATATTCGTTGACGGCATTCACCGATTGGGGTACCTGCTGCTTTCCTGAAATAGAAGATTTTCTCAGGGAAATTCTTCAGAAGCGCAGCGATGCAGTAGACGATGAGAAGTATTGGAGCATGGTACGTTAACGATACAAAACTGAAGTTGTTTTTCCCCATATCACTTAATCATTAGGTATTCTTGTGCTTAATGCTGGGCCGGATAGATGAACTGGAGAAGCTTCTTTCGTGCAGTGCCAATAAAACCGACGAATGCTATTTGAGCATTATCGAACTGCTCAAGAAATGTCCCTTAAAATTGAAGGTAATTGATTACATTTGTAAAGTGCAGTTAGAATAAATTCCAGGTCGTCGAGAAGACAGTGTGATATATGGTAGAGAGCAGATCTTGTGACAGGTGCCATAATGCCAGATAATGTCACATACGTCTCATGATAAAATTACATTGTAATCACTATGGTGATATCACACCCCCGGCTGGATGGTAGAGGCATGAATAACTTGCCCAATTGATTGGCAGGTTGTGGTTGTTCGCCTGATAATACTCCGTAAACGCAGTTACTGCAAAGTTGTGCTTCCTGATCTAATATGATGCAGAACAGAATTATACTGTCTTCACTATGCAGGAGAACGGGAAATATGCATGCCTGTCTTTTTCGGTCGTTCACAGTCATTCTGTTGAGGATTTCCACCTTAAACTATTCTATCTGACCGGCAGCCGAGGGGGTATTTTTTCAGGTTAGTTATTCTTTTCCAAGTGAAAAAGGTAGATTCACCTCTGCACCCTCATTTGTCGTAAATAGAACCATTTTACTGTTATTTCAATAAATGGACTCACTGGCGACTGGTGATCATCTTCGCCACCATGGTTTTGACATTTCGAATGACAAGCTTCACATCATTGCCGATAATAAACAGTGTGCTTTTTTTATCAGTTTTCGAGTCTATCAGCGGCATTTCACGGACACTCCAGTCGCTTGAGAGATTGCAAGGTGTCAGCAACTACGTAAGTCGTTCTCTCATGCCATTCTTTACTTTTGTCATGGCTTGCCCTCCACAACGTCGTGATTGAGATTATTGCTATGACAAACTAATGCCAGGAGTCTTCAACTTGCAGATTCACCCTCGCCGAACTAGGTTTTAACCGTGGGTTAGTGTGTGTCTTCCAGACATGTTCGTATTTTTACGTTAACGGTCATCTTTCATTTTTTAGGCTTTGAGTGGTACAACTCTTTCTTCGTGGTACTTTGAAGTATTCGATCAATTGGAAAGTGGCCGCTATGCAAGTTGCCCGCGATTGGAACAGATAATTCGCGTAAGGCTTTCGTTTTTAGTTGAAACCATTCATGCTATCTCATTTCTCAAAATAAGTCTTGGAGATTCGCCTGGTTTATGAACATTTGTTTTGTAATGCGTTGAACGGTGGTCGAAACCAGTCAGTCATTGATTTGAGGTTCATTGTCTTTTGCAATGCATGTTACTATCAGCACATGGAAAATTATCACTTTACAATACACAAAGCTTAAATATATACAACTTCAATTTTTAGACGTTTTGTACATCAATCAATGTTCATTTGTGGGCTTTGTAGTTGCTTCTTATTCCAACATGCTGAAAACGGGTCTTTTATCGTCCTCAAATGCAGTGAATGACTTGGGGGAGGGGGGTTGGGTTGTCTAGCAACAGGGCTAAAGAAGATTTTTTCCAGATTTTATGCCCTTTCTTGCAATTAACTCCCTCAATTTTTTATTCGTTACTGATCTAGGCGATCAACAGTATGGGTCACCATAGAATCCTATAGTCTTTGCGTTGCCTTCCTTCACGCTTCGCAAGCCAGCATGCACTAAGTAATGTTAAAGGCTTCCTTGCGTGAATTTTGTCGTTTCGAATTAATTCGATGTTCTAGGAAACGAAACCATCAAAACATGCTCCTTAATTCTTGTTGAAATACACAGTGCCCGTAAGTGGAAAATAGTCCTGTTTTGTTACTTGTTTCGGTTCTTGTCAGTAAATTATTTTGCCGAAAACCTTGTAAATTAATTCATTTATTTAGATCTTCACCGTTCCGGTTATTCACCATGTCCAGTTTGTTTTCGTTCTTGTCTGTATAGTCTATTGAATTTCATAAGGTCTGAAATACCCAAATTTCTCTTTCAACTTCCCATCTGTTAACAGATCTTGAATTAGCTGTTTTTGTCACACGTGTTGATATATAATTTCTTTCGTACCTTACTTCATATATTTTTACCTTATCTAGACACCTCCTCTAGCAGCTACAACGGTTTATTTATGTACAACGAAAACAGTATGATTAGTCTGATGGTTGGCCTGCGCCGGCTTTTCTGACCGTGTCTCATGGGTTTTGTTCAAGATTCAGAGGGTTAATTTTCAGAGGTTTTTCTGTCGTCTATAGCTGTTATAAAGCTCGCTTTATAGCTCCAAACATTGCAAGGACTGCTAATTACATAAAGAACTTCCTGAAAGCAACACTACATACATTGAAATAAAGCCAGTGAGACACCGGACGAGATTGTACTAGATCAGTCATCCGATTGACCGTATTTTTTTCGTTGTGTATAAATATGCCATGATGCCGTTTTCAATATGACCACCAACGTACGAACGAAGTACTCAGTCCAGTAGCTTTCTTAGAGTTATTTTCCAGTCAACCATTTTAATCTGCCGATTATATGCACTTACAATTATCAGAAACTCGTTAATAGCCTCTGGCAATCTTCAGTCGTTACGGAATGTTATTCTCGCTGTAACAGCTTTCCTTTCATGTCAGGCTATTGCTCTCTCTTACATTTTTTATCTTTTCATCTTCGTTTTTTCTTTTGTATTTATTTCTACTTTTTCATCTCCTGTCTTCCCTATCTAATCTTTATAAATTTTCTTTTATGCATTCGCATTTATTTCCATTTAGCTTCGCTTTCAGGTTTAACCGTCCTCTTGTTTTGTTCTTGCACATTATTTTTTTCATCTGTTTTTATCACTTCTCCATCTTTTTCTCCTTTCTTTTCTTTTCTCTTTTTCTTCGCATTTCTTTTTCTTCGCTTCTCCTTTGCTTCTTCTTATTCTGGTTTTTCATTTCCTTTCTGTTCCTTCTCCATTCGCTTTACTGTTCTTAATTTTTTATCTTTCTGCTGCTTTTTTCACAGTCTTCTTTTTCTCAGGTCTTCCCCTGGGCACTTGTTTTTTTTATTATTCTTTCCTATTTTTCTCCTTTTTCCCAGTTTGCTCCTTTTTTATTACTTTTGTACCTTTGTCTTCTGATCCTTCTACTTTCTTTATTTCTTTTGCTTTCCTTCTCTTATCGTCTTATTCTCCCTTGTTTCTCTCTTATCTTCGTCTTTCTTTTTTTCGTTTGTCTTTTCTTCAACTTCGCCTTATCCATCTTCCTTTTTTCTACTCATTCGTGTTATTTTCTCAGCTTACGACTTTCTTGTTTTCCTCCTTCATCTCAGTTACTCCCAACTTTATGTTCATTTGTTTTCTTTTCTCATCTTTTGCGTCTTTGTCTCTTAAGTCTACATGCTCCTTTATCTCTTTATTTTATTACGTTTCTATTGAAAATTTCTTTTTTTAATGGTGGCTATTTGTAGGTGTTTGCAGATGATGAAACTGTGTATCATGAGCTATCTCCTTTGTGCCTTAATTGGAAGCAGGTCTTTATCAGCCGTAGCATCTATTCATCCGCGTCGTTCGACGCCTCCTGTCTTATGGCGCTGGCAGAGGTAATGGCTGTTCTTGTGTATACCTTTTCGTAGTACGTTGGTTCTTTTTTCAGTTTGCTATGAAAACCACAGCTACCAAAACGTTGGATGTAAAAGACGAAATTTTTCTCGCTGTTTTTTCATTTGATCCTATCAGACTTTTGCACAAACTCTGGTAGATCATTTGCAAAAATATTTTTTCTATCTTATGCGTCACATGATTTTAGTCAATCTTTGCACAACTGGTGGCTACCTGCTCACTTAGCCGACATGTTCAGATATTCTGATTTTTTTAGTGGTGATCTTAGAAGGTAATCTACTTTTTATTGATTTTATTCATATATTGATTTTATCCTTTGAGGCCATTGTTCCTTGTGTGTTGACCCAATTTTAGTAGCTGTTAACTCGATAAAAATAATTTATGTAACCTTGGATGTTTTTAATCCTGATTATTTCATATATGAAATAATCTGTCATGGCACTTTCCATGTAATGATTTGTTTGAAGTGATTTATTTCACTGAACAGTTACGACATTCCCATATTTCTTATCATCATTAGTTACTTGCTTCATTTTTCTGTCCTGTGTAATATATTGTGAGAGCGAACCAGTTCAAATATCAGGCCAGAATTTGGGCAAATTTGCTTTGAAGTTTGTCGAGGGGTGCTGTACCTTTTGTTTCGACGAGTGTTTTGTTTCTGTCAGTTTAAAGTTCTTATTTTCTAACCATGACGTTTTCAGCCTGCTCTTTGGCCTTTCCTAACAGGTATTCGGCACACTACAAAATATGATATTGATAGTCGCAACTTGTCTCATCATAGTACAGGTCAGAAAGGTGAAAGTTTTACCTATTTTTCCTCAAAAGGAAAACTAATGCAATTGCCTACTCGACGTATTTTGGGTAGAAAAGACAGTGGATATCAACTTTTTATTTTAAGAGACAGCGGGACGCATTTCTTGGAACAAGAACAATGTATGGTGATTCAAAAATCAAAGAACACCAAAGAACTCATCAAGAACCTGTTCGCTGTGTTCACACTATTAAGTGTCTGAAACTTACTTAAGCGATCAGCTAATGGGCCAGCCATGTCACATTAGTGTTCACCGTAAGGGTTCTGACTACCTGATCGGACTGCTGAGACTCTAGGTACACCCATGGCGCAAGATGATTCGATTGTTTGTATTCGGCTACTGGATAAAGACTATATCATCCTTCGTGTGATCAGTCGCATCAGCAGGATTTACCGAACAGAGATTTGCGATATAATAGCTTCCACTGTTATTGAAGTAACCATGCGGTGTTGGCGAACCTTGCTGAGTGACTTCAACCATCCTCTGCTCAAACAGTTTCTGAAACCAGTATCAATACATCTTGGTACCAAAAGCACAGTGAACGCACCCCTGCACATACAGAACTCTATCGCAGATCAGTTCTGTTTTTCATCTCTAATCTTTTCAAAGATATGGAATAGCAAAGACAAATCATTATAAAAATCCTCGCGTCACATTGTTAACATTGATAGAGTGTGGAGTTTTTGTTAAACTTTGCCATTTAACTCATTGGCATGAAGACACCACTGTGCTGAGAGCAGATTTGTTGTCCAAGCGAACAAACTTACTTGCAAGTAAGTGCTCCACAAGTATTTTACAAGATTTTTCCGCATATAAAATTTATTATATACAAATTCTCCAACGTTTCTGATCATGCTCGATTCGTCTTCAGGGAGCGATATATTACATATACGATTTTACAGTAATTTTATGTACTTAGGTAGAAACTTTACTGTCTAGGTTTTAGCTTCGATAGCAAAAATTTTTAACTTCATTCCAGTACGAACTAAATTCCATACCGACGTTTTTACTCATTTATTGGTTTGATTGTATAACCACTGCTTCTTTTATCTTCCTGTTTAGAAAGTTTCGATCTCTGTGTATTCTCTTCGTATTATCCCGTAATAATGTCCCATATTTTTTAAGAAGCGAAGGGAAAGCAGCTTCAAATTAGAAGTCTCAAATAGAATTCATGGAATTTTGTAAAGCATTAAAGAAACGAATATTGAAAGACATTGTTCGTTCTGCATATTTTTAAAGAAATATACTAAAAACTGCCGAAGTAGAATGTAATTAGTCATAAATTGACAGACGTGAAACGACGAGTTTGACTGCCAGAGGCGTAAGAAGGACTGTTTACCCCGAAGAGGAAAGATAATTGAAGATTTCTGTAGAAAACCATATGACGAAGCAAATAAAGTAGATGAAATTACAGAGTTCTTGCTAAAAGAAGTGCGAACATCTATACGACGAAGTAAAGAAAGTTTAGTGGCGAAGACTGCGTTGTAGTTTAATTCATGAAATCCGGATATGAAGTATTGGCGAGGATTCTGACATGCCTGTTTTTACGTTGGTTGAACGAAACGACATTTCAAGACATTGGGATTACCGCGTCGCTAATTCACTGTGCAAAAGAAGAGATGAAGAAGTTCTGAAAAACTACATTCTAATCAGTTTGTTGCAGATAATCTAAGATCTTCAAAAAAGTAGTGATGAACAGACTTTATGAAAACTGGACATTGCACAACCAAAAGAGTAAGCAGAACTCAGCAGTGAATTTAGTGCAACGGATCATTTTCAGGTAGTTCAAGTATCTCAGAGAAGCAGCAAATATCAGCTTCTATGTCTGTGGTTCGTTGATTTCGAGAAGACTTTCATCTTAGTCAACACCAGGTCTGTATTGGATTTCTTGAGAAGTTATGAAATCTGAAAAATGAACAGAAACATTATCACCGTGATTTTCAACAATACAACTGCTAGTGCGTAGTTCCACCAAGGCACAAGCAGCTTAATATTTTACAACTTGATGCAATATAATCGACATTATGCATAGCAGCTGTAGGAGCGATTTTTAAGGCACTGTATGGGAAAATCAGCGGATAAATGAGACACTCCTCAGTCCATCTGCAAATGATATTCTGCTCTTCTCCTGGTCACTAACGGTCAGATATACACTGAATTGCTTTTTCGTACTAACAGCAGCTTTTCACAGATTTTACTGCAGTAAGCAGTTTGGACTTTCCTGATTTTCTTTTGAATATCTGCTTAACAGCTTCCGTCGCATTTGATTTTCAGCCCAAGGTAGCAAAATTTCTTTACTTCTTGAACACCCTTTCCGTAAATCTTCAAGTTATAGACATTAGATTTAGCATCTTATAGCTTAACGAAAGGCCTGTTTCTACTGTCCTTGCAGTTTTAGCCCGTGCCTCGCATTAATTATTTTTATGCACATCCGTGCCTGCCCGAAATTCTTCCGTTTCGCTGTGATGACTACGCTGCCATCTGCGTTTGGAGATCGTGTATGGGCGTTCTGATGAATGGAGTATTTCTTCGCTATTAACTCTCGTAACCGCGTGAGTCATCACCGATCGATACAGCAGTTGAGCAATATTGTCTCACTGGCTGATCTGATCGATGATTGCTGCGCTCCGCTGCAAATTGAAAACCTCTCAGAGATTCGTATTTTTGTTTGAACCACAGTCATTGTACTACTGTGCATATGTTTCGGGATGTTAAACCACCTCCTTGTCACACCATTATCTTCTGATAGCTAATACAGAGTCCGTAGTTTGAATAACCAATCAAAAGGATGGCTGAAAGTTGGCAAACCTGACGAACAGTGGCTGTGATATCAACTGTTCCTCGTCAACAAAAGGTACAGCGTTAGAAAACAGAACTCTGTGGCGGAACAACGCTGTCGAAGGCCGCTTTGATCGTCTTCGTCCCGCAAGGCCAGCAGTGATATGCATAATATTTGCAATATTTTTGCGCTAGTTGGGAACAATCTGGCACTGGTATTACATCAGAAATTTACAGTTTTAGTTACACAGTTATAAGCGTTATGTATTTATTTTCGAAAACACCCTCTGAGCAAATTTTGAAGTTGACGTATCACCACTTAAGGCTATATTTGTTCTAAGGTATGGAAATAAAGTGACTTATTTTGCCCAATTGTTTGCATAATATCGAAGTGACGGAAATCCTGCACAGAAGATTATGAAATTCCACACTAGCGGTGCGCTTCACACTTCTGCTTCTACGTTAATTTTGACTAGTTTATGATTCAAACGCTTGTGTTCATTGATTAATATCTTTGTGGAAACATGGATGATGTAGTGTAATAATCAAGTTTTATTTTAGTCAAATTTGTGACCTTCGATCGTACCTTTCTTGCGAATATGGTTATGGTCTGTTGCTTCATCCCAGGTAAATACTTTGCTAGGTATTTCCTTTGCTGAAAATTTTAATGAGACATTGATGAACAGTATTTATCGTAAATTTTGTAGCATTCTCATCCCGTTTGGAATGCTGTTAATATTGCTGTTATGTTATCAGCGAGTAAGAATAAAGGGCAACATGTTATTCAGAAAATATATAACTTGAAATGCTCTTTCTATCAGTAGCGAGCATGGATGATGTGCTCCATTCTTTCCGTTTCGTTTTTTGGTCAAAATATGATTTTATAATGACGTGAATTCATAAATAGATTTACCAATCATTTCTGTTTCGCCTTTACCGCGTTAAACGGCTGTTCAGGCGTTCATCACAAGCAATAAATTTGTTGCAATCCTTTCTCGATACGCATAAAGGCATTCGTCTTATCACAGAAGCTCTTGCAACATGTCAGCCGCACTTTTTCTGCAGTGCTCTAATGCGCTTCCGCATCCTTAATCCACAAAATATATTTAGACGATTGAGCGAATTTGGCATACTGAGTATTAGGAGCAGTCGATATTAAAAGACTTATTTGCGAAGTTGTTATGTTCATAGTTATCATTACAATTTTGTATTTTTATTCTACTCCATATCAAACAATTTTAGCCTGTGGCAGATTGGCGTCGACTACATGTTGGCAGGAAATTTGGGAAAGTGAGTTATTTTTGTTTTGTTGTTTGTAAACACAGGGCAGTTCACCAACGTGTTTTTCACAAATCTTTCTGTTTGCGACTGTAAACATGGCAGTAATGCCAAATCGGTAACGGTGTAAAAAAATATCGCTTGATTCCTTTTCGCCTAGTGTAAATAAATAGTAGAAAATGATATTGCTCATCATGTATTTGAAAAACGAAGTTGCTGATCATGTTGCTGAAAAGATAAGTTATGTCCGTTCGTCAGATAACGGTAACTCATCGATGACTAGGATTCATAGTATATTCCGCCCTGATCTTAGTTGCCGAACGGGGACTATTTAAGTGGCCACGAATCCATAGTATTTGATCACCGGCAGAGTCAGATGCTTTTCTCATCAATTTCTTCGCCAGAGTACCTGGTGTAAGATGATCCTGGTTAATCACCCTATGCATGAACAAAATTTGCTGTTCGTCTCAGATCGCGAAGCCAGCGATTTCAAGATCTTTTCCACTGATACGATTTTCCATCAATCAGCTAAACGACAAAGGTTGGATTCCAACCGGTCTCAATCATTTTATTTGGACTGTCAGTTTTGGTAGACAGCTCCTTGAAAGATTTTCCTTTTATCCATAAGGAAATTTGTTATGAACTAATTAAACAGTCGCATCGGGCTTCAGTGCAAGCACTCCGTGGAAGGTAGATGATTAAGCAAATTTGTTAATTAGTTACTTGGTTAATTGGTTAAGTTGTTGAATAGTTAATGGTTTCATTTCCATGAACTGTTGTTCTTGCTGTTTATCTCTTTGAGTCGTGTGCATAAACTGAACGTCTCTGGTTTGTGGTGTGAAACAAACCCTTGTTCGAACACAAGCTAATATTCTTATGCCCATAGACTTATACGACAGAAGTAAACAGTGTATTCGTTTGTATTCGAATCGTGTGCTTGTTTTTTCCAACAAATGGTGCTGTTTGTGCCCATGCTTTGCAGGTATTAAAACCTTGGAGCTGTGATTTTCTCGAATGATACTCCTGGCTGCAGATGCAAACGAACAGGCGCTCTACGCCATGTAAATCCAGGGAAATGGCAGGAGAATGAAATTAAATTAATTTTTAATATTTTGATCACAACCAGGTACAAAACAGTTAATTGCCAAGTTCATTTGATCTGATACACTTTTTTTAGTCCTGAGTAAGCTGTTGTTCTTGCTATTCTTTATGAAAGTTTTTTTGTTAGGTTAATTTGATAAATTGTGTTATTGTTTTATTAGCGTTACGCTGACTCTGACAGCTTAAATAGATAGTTAAAAATAATTTTATCGCTGTAAAAATTATGTACCAGACCACATCAGAGGTGAATTATAACACCTCTTCTTTCAATTTTATGGTCAGCAGCAAGGGACGGACTTTCTTGAAAAATCGTGACCTCTTTAGGCAGCAGAATTATTCGTCATATAATTTTTGCTGTATATTCATGTAGTTGTCTAAACGCCGAGATGCCGTTCTAAACGAAACATCTTATCAATACCATATGTGCCAGATCTGCGTAACAAACGGTGTTTTTACTTGCGTCTTGTCCACAAAGCACCAATAGAGTAACAATAAAGATCTATTCTTGATGAACCAACGCTTCGATCGATTGGGCATCAGTCAATATTCTGACTATTTGTATGAAACAGTGAGGACATTGTCGGTTCCAGTGTATTTCATAATAACTCTGATAGTTACATTTCTGCCGAAAATTGTCATTATTGGTACATCGACTCAGCAGTAAATGCAGTTCTTTATTTTTTCAAATCAGCAATTGTGTTATGATATTTATCCTTGCTAATTTCAGACATAAATTGAAAAATATGCTTGAACGAATTTCGATTCCTTCTGATTACAAGGCATTAAAGTTAGTCGGATTATGTCGCAGTTTGAATTTTACAGATCTAGGTAAGAACTTGGTGTTTGCCAAAGCCTCTGTTTATAGTGACTTTTATTTTAGCTTTGGATTTATGCAGGAATTATTCGTACAAATACCTGAAGGAAGGAAAGATAAACTGCGCCTTTAAATGGTGCTTAGCTTCTGCGGTAAGTTATTTAACATATTTTAAGTACAATGTTGGTGTATGTTTTAATAATCATAGCAGTTGTCGAGGTTTACAGCAATTGTAAAGACTATTTTCGGTCTCATTTTGTATTAAGGGTTCACTATCTTGGACTTTTGGTAGAGCAAGGTATTTTATGACTGAGAATAAGACAGATTATTTCATTAGTATGTTGGTGATCATACTGAAAAACAGTGTAAAAAAGGTGTTGATACGCAGCGCAAAATATGTGGTATGTATTAATGTGGCATGCGATAATTTGGATGATAGACAAATCCTGACATTAGTTTCAGATGTTTTTCATGTTTATTCTGTCTTATAGCTTTGGAGTCAGTAGGCAAGTTTTTCGCCTGTTCTGCTGGTTAAATACTTTAGTGGAGACTGATCCGATCTGCCCACAGTTCATGTCCTTTGTCATGGTTAACATTATCATAAAACTAGATGATTAATGCATCTTTGACAAACCTCTGCAGTCACTGTCTTTGATGATTCCTGTACACTCTGATCATCAGCAAGCATGTCCTTCCTGTGTCGCTTGCTGCATAATTCCAGAAGTGTTTTAGCATTGTTCCTTGACTTTGCTGGGGATGAGAATTTCTTTTCTTCCTGAGTGTTTCACTATCACATGTCGCTAAAGCTCGTCCGCGATCTTTTCAAGTTTCACGTGTGAGTCTTTGTTCACTGAATGACGATGTTCCCTGTTTCTTCTGTTATATTTTTAAGAGTTACATTGTAAATTGCAAACCTAGACTACAGAATTGTTATTTTCAAAATTACTTAATAACGCATTAAGTTTATTAGTGATTTTGTATATAACGGTAACATTGTATTTAAGTTTTAGTATTCTTTGTAATTATTCATCAAATATGAATATGATAAGGTACAATTAAGTAAGGTTATTATTTGGATTATTATGTTTGGCATCATTGCTGTCCCAAGTTCATTTAAAATAACTTATTCTAAATTTGTTTCGTTTTAACTGGATAATTATTGCTATTATATGGCGTTAACTTCATCATCATCATCATCATCATCATCTTCCATCGCCGCTTCTCCTTTCGGGTCGCGGAGGCAGACGCG